AGATCATGTCAATACCAGAGAAGAAGTCAAAAATGAAACGAACAGGAACCCGCTATTGGATTTACCGAGAAATTTGCACCTGGACCCAATTTTTATCTAATTTGGTTCAGCGCGGAGCGATCATCTAAGTTTCTAATGTTGCTTTCTTCGAGTAGAAGAGGCTCACCCCACGACGAAATATTTCACCCTGTCATTAATAGTTTTTGAATTATCCACTGAGTATGTCTGAGATTTTGCAAATTTTTTGAGAATAGGTACATTTTCTTTCCTGATTTATGTTTACCTCATGTGATGATCGAAAAAGTTTCGGCGACTGCATCCCCTCTCCATACCTTCCAAATTCCTGACTTCATCATTATCTTTAAGGAGATGCTTTACAACACTTGTTTCTATGACAAGCATTTGAACGAAATACCATCCTTCCAGATGTACAGTAGGACGGAAACGAGCAGTGGTAATAGATTCCCTTCAAAAAGGTTGAATCAATCAAGGGTTGTCGATCTCAGAAAGATCAAATAGGGCATTGATAATAGTTTCCCTTCAAAAAGGTTGAATTAATCAAGAGTTGTCGATGATAGAAAGATCAAAAAGGACATTCACATCTAGCAAAATACCTAAATCTGTTTGTGGTATCAGTCTTGTCTTCAAAAATGAGGCAGATATTTATATCTAAGATTTATTCTTACCGATTTATTTAGTTTTCAATCCAAAAAACTTTATCAGCGCATCTTGAAATAGCGAGAATACTAAGCAACAGTCTCATTAAAATTGACACAAAGAAAATACACTGTGTTCATTGATGCATTTTTAGAACTTTTAGGGAAATATTTATAACTTTCTAATGCGTAGAAAGATGTGATTTCTGAAGAAGAAGGTTTGCGTGTCTATAATTCTACTGTTACTTTAATATTTTGTTCGAGTAGTTCCATAAAACTTTTTGTCTTTCTTCGAGAGATGGTGAGAAATGGATTAGACTGATCAGAAAAAAAGAAAAACGTTTTCAATTTTTTAACTAAGTTGTTTTTCGTAGTCGGGGCATTGTTATGCGAAAGCTATGTAAAACATCAGATGTATTATTGACTAGTGAATATAGATAGCCAATAGTTTGAGTGAGATTTTCTCAACGTTCTAGTTATCTGTACAAGAATTCAGTAAGAGTAATTTTTCTAAACCGTCTAGAGTCATTTATTTATGTATTTATTTCTAGAATTGACGATATCTTGAGATATCGAAAAACTGTTTTAGCTAGAACAACTATCAATGGATTATTTACACCATGTTGCCTTGTTGAATATTGTCATTCTTTTCTACTGAAAGATATGATCAACGTTATAGTTAGATACATCTTCGTTGGTATAAATTTGCATTCATCATATACCATTTAAATGCGAACAAGAACTTACTGATAAAACGTATGCAGTAAAAAAAAGAAAATGTTTTGCTTCTGTCTAGTATTGCAGACAGAGTTAGCAGCTGGGAAAGTAAATAAATTTATAAAAACTGATTCATTTTATTCTAATAAATAATTCTAATTCAAATTAGACAGGAAACTAAATATTCTTGAAAGGAAAAACATTTATTTTTTTTCTTCAAAAAGAACAATTCCACTCGAAAAAGCTCTTAAACTCTTATCGTCACATAATGAGATGAAAATGTATGTTATGTGAAAAATACGAATTGAACATTTTTTCTTTACAAAAAAAAAAGGTTAAGTAGCGAAAGCAAGTTTACTCGTGCTTTTTTAATTCTATTAATGATTAACAAATCATTTCTAAAGGTTCATTTGATATTGATTTGAGGTTCATATTCTTAGCGTCTATCTTGCAATACAGACCGAAAAAAACTCCCAACACTAGGTTAATTACATTTTGTTTTCCATCCGTTCTTCTTCCTTGATTTATTGAGAAATAACAATATGAATGAATGTGTGCATGTCAAAGTGCTTGAGTTTGAAACTAGCACTAAGATTTTTGAAGTAAACATTTTAGTTCAACAATAACTCAATGTATTAGAACGCAGCGATGATCCTGATCCCGAACATTTTTAGAAACGAGATAAAAATATATATCTGTTTTTCGGGATTGAGACTAAAAAAGTCGGTCCGACATGACTCTACTCTAAAATGCATCCTATCGTTTATATCCATTTTCTTATGAATAGAATATATATACCTGATTAGCAAATAAATATATAGGATACTAAAAAAAAACGAATTGAAATGTTTCAAGTCAAAATGGCCGTATTTGACTTGAGTACTCTATGATTCAAGTGCTCATATCTAAAAAATGAAGAAAATGCAGTATGAAACTTAGAATGCAAATATGTACTGTTGATTCAATAAAACAGGATAAATCTAGCTAATGATTTTTAACATTTTCTGACTACCAAAATCAATTGTGGTGTAGTTTGTGATATTTAACATTTAAATACAAAGTGATATTACAGATGACAGTTTCAATGGTACATTTATTCCATTTCAATTGTTTCTTTTAAGATATTCCTCACACATATGAGATGACCATATTGTTATAAATATTGAATTATAAAACGAGCTATGACTGATAATATTAATAAGTTATTAAAAGTTCTTAAAACTGATGTGAACGATATTTTCAAAAACTCAAACGCAATAACTGCAGCCTCCATTGCCAATCTCACTGACGATGGTAAGTTGAAAAAATAGCAAATATAGATCTATATACTTTAGCTGTAATACTTACTAATGCATAATAGTAGAACTGTATTATGCATGAGCTAACTGGAAATAGTTAAGTTACATTACTAATTATTATCAAACTCATTTTGTGATTAAAAACAAGAAATTTTTAATAAAACACAGTTTTTTGTAGATAATTTATGGTCTTAGTTACTCATGTGTTATTTATTTTTACTAATGATATTCTCTCAAGTGCTTTTCGTTCACAAAAATTTGTAATTATGCAGAATTTGACATTTCATACAAACTGGTCCGATACAAAACGAATTCTTCGAAGATTAGCTTGTGTTTCCAAAAACACTCATATCCTCATGGTAATATTAGAAAGATCCAGTGTTTTAACTAGTGTAGGGGTAGTGGACGCTTCCCCCTCTTAAGATCTAACTTTTCTGGGTTTTTAAAACTAACTAGCCGTCTCATCGAAACTGTAAACTGTCTCCTCAAAGAAAAAAAATTAGATAAAATACTGGAAAGATCTATTAGGAGAAAAAGCATCATACCGGTTGCCAACGTTATATATTATCTATAAAAAGTCATGTTACACTGAAAACGTCTGAGTGACATGTGAAAAGCTTCTTTTGTAGAAATAATATTGCAATCTTCAATCACATGTTAGATTTGTTCATAAAGATTTCGAAAAGCCAGACAGTTCAAAAATAATGAACATAATCGTATTTCATCTAAAAAATATATTGACTTTATATATGTGTGTTTTAATCATCAACTTTCAGTTAGAAATAGGGTGACAGAAATTCTTTTATTTGTCCGTTTTTATGTTGAAAATTTTAATCGACAACAACTTGAAATATCTTCGAATCACAAACATATTCTAAGTTCCTCTTGACAAATTTTGAATTTGTTAAGTTCTTGTTTCTTTTAATCGTCTGTTAAGTAATGTAAAACGAAAAGAAATTATAGAATTTAGAAAAATATCTTTAATTTTAAATCAAATAAAAAAAAAAAGAAAAATTTTGTGCATATAGCACATATTATTGTTACATGCTCCACACAATATTCTATTACTATTTAAAAAAAGTAGATTAAAGCGGACAGCAATTTAACAACTATGGTCGTATCCAAAACAAGGAATATTCAAACATCACCGGGTTTTGAAAGTCAAAATCCTAAACCAATTGAGACTTCTTCTGAATTAAAAAGTATGTTATAATTTTCCACTAGTCCAATTCACAAGAATAGTCGAGTAAGAATAGTTGTAATAGATATAATCCGGTATTTATCGATTGAAATTTCGTATTTTTTTCACAAAAAGTTTTTGATAACACAAAACAATATTCTAGAATTTTTTTTTATCCACTGGGTATTGTAGAACAAATATTTCTCTACAAAATGAAGTATGAAAGTACTTTTCGTCTTAATTCAGCACGATCGGTACTAATATCAGTTTATGGTTCTTTCTCGAGAAGTGATCACGACGAAAAGAAAAGAGCTGAAGAGTGTTTCACCATGTCTCTCTCTGCTCTATAAAACTAAGTAGTCAAAAATTTAATATTTTGTACTTTGTAATCAGTCTGAGTGAGAAAAAGGATATGCCTAGTCGCTAGCTCATCGATATTTGCTCAGTTTAAAAATCTTATTTAATTCATAAACCGCAAACGACACATCAATATTTTATTCGATTCATTTTTTCAATTAGTTAACACCATATTTTTATACATTTTTAAACTTATACCATTTCAGGGGATTTTGGAGCAGATTATAAGCGGGTCTTCAGTTTGTAGTCACAATATACTATGCATAGGATAAAGGTTTGTTAGCAGAGAGGATGAAAATATTTGTTAAAATATATTCTACAATGAATACTGTATGCCATTTTCTTAGACGTTATCCATATATGGAATGCTGTATCGAGTCATATCGAGAATTATATGAAACAATCAAAAGTATGTTTATAGTCAAGATTTATGTTTGTCTTAATGTTTTTCGTGTATGTGTATCATAGGGAGTATCCATTCCTGGATTCGGCACATTCAGTTTTATTCATAAACGAACTGACGTTGGAAATAACAAATATTTGTTAGTACAACGACCTGTATTTGCTATATCCGAAAAATTTGCTCAAACACATGGATTGAAATTTACCAAATATCCTATTAATGGTAAAAATTATTTTAAATTTTACTTCAACAAAATTTATTTTTCTTATCTAATGTAGGTTCAATTCCAATACATCCGTTAAATTATTTTGCTATACAAAATCAATATTCTTATTCAAGAGATCAAATAGAACAATGTGTTAAACATGTTTTACAAGTATTTAATCGTTCTGTAGCTGCACAACGAAATGTTGAATTTACATTTACTCGTATTGGTAAACTACAAATACGTGATGGAAAAGTTAAAATGCGTTTTTTCAAAGATTTTGTTAATGATGTGGATGGAAGTGGAAAAGTTTTGGAGGAGATATACAGTGTAAGATGGAAATCTATAATATATATATATAATTTATCTATAGATAGTTCAATTTTTTCAGAGACCTCAAACAAGTGATTCAGTTACGCCGGAACGTGATATCAAACGACCAACCTCAACTTCATTATGTGTTCTTCCAAGGTACAGAATAAAATTTCTCCTAATCATTTTCAGCAAAAAATAAGCAACGTTCTTCGTATGTTAGATTAAATAGTCGAACAGGAAATCCAGCTATGACATCAATAGAAGAAGAACACGATGATAATGAAAAGAGTCGTCAATCAAAAAAACAGCAACCACAAGTGACACAACGAGGTAGAGTATTCTGTAAATTTTTCTCTACTTCTTCTTGTCATCAAATCTCTCGTTCGTTTTGATACAGACTTGAGTCCGTTTAAAAGTGATTTAAATCGTTCATATACAAAACAGAGCGATTTTCACTTACCTCCACTTTTACCATCGTCCAAAGGTATAGGAAAACAAAAATAAGAAAGTGTAACATTGATACTTGTACATCATTTGCTAGTAAACAATGATCACTTAGACACGTTTGGACAAAAGCATGTTAGACACGGCAGCACAGGTGTTTGTTGATATTCACATTAACACATGTAGTTGTAAGGTGATTTCCACTATAATATAGGACTTATCTAACAGAGATGAATAACAGTTAAAATCTATCTTTAGAGATAGTAAATATCAAAACACTTAATATTTGTAACAAGTTTACATTAGCAGTGTGCAACTTATTAGAATATAGTTAAAAACAATCTTCAACCGTGCACTACTTGTTTCCAATTAGTCCTACATAGTAAAAATTATTTCTCAACTATATATCTTAATAAAAGAAAGTAAGACGGTATGAAACATTTTTCTCTAATAATATAGATACGGAAAATAATTTTTCTAGTTCAAAAAAAAAGAAAATTGATTTCCTTCTTCTTATCTTACGCAAAAAATGATTAAAAATCAATTGTGAATGAGTCAGTCTATTGAGTAAATACGTACCTGTTTTATAGAGTAACAATCCAACATAAATATTTGAAAATCATTTTGACATTGCACGTCAACATCTTAAAAGTGTTCATTTACTTACATAGAGTAGTATTCTGTATTTTTAAAGATAATGGAAAAGACCTTAAATAATAATGTCTAACTTCCGTTGCGATTGTCTCGGGTATTCCAACTATTTTGAACAATATCACAGTGAGTAATGGATTTTTACATGAAAGATTGCGTGTACCTAAAACTAAATCGATAACATCATTTTTTGAACTCACAATAAATATAGTTGATTTATGTTCGTAGCTGTTGTTTCAATAGTAGAAATTAGTTTTCTGTCATCACTTGTTTAGTCATCGTAGTTAAGTGTTGAAACAAGTATCATATATTTTTTTGTTAATTTTCATGATAGAACCAACAATATCCATAACGACAAATCAAGAAACAGTTATTCCCATTGCTTCTTTGTTCTCGTCATCAGATTTATTCCAGTCGAACAAAAAAACTCCTCCATCGTCTTCTCCAGCAGTTGTACGACAATCAAATGAACGACGATCACCAACCACAAATATGGATAATGAACAGCAGCAACAGCAACAATATGAAACGTAAGTTGTTTGCCTGAAACTACAAACAAAAATTAGACCGTACATGCTCATTAAAGTGTACAGTTACGTTAGTTTTATCTATGATTTTCAGAAGACAAACTGGTGAATAAACTGAAAGTAATATTTGCTTGATGAATTAATGACTGCACTATGTAGATAAAGAATCAGAATACTTCAGTTAAATAGTTTCTCAAAAGAAAATCGTAAAATCTTACAAAATCATAATATAAATTAGGTGATGAGAAAAAAATGATCAATAATCTCGCTTTTGCTTTTCTTGCTAGTATTATGCTTGAAAACGTTGTTTCTAATGTAATAATGATCGTAGTGCTCTCTCTTTTGAATTGTTTAGTAGTGGCAGTAGACTTGCTCATTATGCATTACCGTCCAATGTTGTTCGAGCCACAAGTGATGCGAGTGCATTAGTTGGCTACAACAGTAGACCATCATCAAAACTCAATCGTGAACGCATTTCATCTTCGATGCATATTACCCAACATCAAAGTAATTCAAAACCGCCTACTCCTTCAACACCAACCTGCGGTCATCACGGTGCCGGACAAGAACTATGCTATCTATGTCATCAACGTGCAAAACGAAATATACCTGTTTATATGACAGAAGAAAAAAAAGTTCGACAAGCAGAAGAAGAACAACTTCTACAACAATACAAACATAATCAAGAGATGGAAGAATTCAAACAACGAGAAGTAAATTGACGTATAGTAATAAATAAAAAAAAGAGCAGTATTTGTAAAATTTTAATTATATGTTAATTAGGTAAAGTTAAAAAGCGATCGTGAAGAAAAACAAAAAGTTGCCGCATTTAATTTGGGAGTAGCCGAAGCAGCAAGAATACGAAAAATGGAACGACCAAGTACAACTGATGTACCGGTGTGTAATTTCTTTTTTCTTTTTCAGTATAGATAGAATCGGTAATTTCCTGAACTTTCATATAATCGTTTGTGTTGTAAAAAGGAGTATAAAAGCAATTTTTTTTGTGATTTTGAAAAGAAAACGTATTCAGCTGTGTTTATTGAGTGATTAAAATTTTTATACGTTGAAATTAGACGCGTTTGCCTCTCTTAACACATTTAAACATGTTCAAATATTTCATTTTAGCCGCGTTTCTCTTGCGTTTAAGATATAAAAAAAAATATCTACATGGTTTATTGTTTTAGCGCTCGTTTGTATTTCGTAAACGAGCAAAAACACCTCCAACATACATTCGTCAACAAGATTTAGCAAATCATCTTGAAGCACAAATTAAATGGAAACAACAAGAGGAAACAAGTCGAAAACAAGACAAAGATTTTATAGAAAGAATGGAACAGATACAATTAGCTGAACAGTATAAACACACAAAATAATATCTTTCTCTATATATTTTAACAATTATATCTATACTTTTTATTAGACTTGCTAGTGAAAGAGAAGCATTCATTAGAAACAAACGTTTGAAACAAGAAGAAATGAAGAATGCCTTAGATACTCAGGTTTTTTTTTCTTGAATTAAAAAGGAAAAATGGTTTTTACTCAGCTAATCTATTGCTATTATTTAGATTCGTACAAAACCAGTTGGTCTACCAGTTTCTGAATCTGATGGTCCTATTTTTGGTATGAACGATATGACAACAAATAAATTAATTGAACGAAGAAAGAATGCTACTGAAACATTTAAACATCAAAAGGAAATTGTTGAACAACGTCAACGTGAACAATTATTGAAACAATTACGAGAACAAGAATATGAAGCTCATGCATTGGATGTTATGAAAGACGAGTATTTTTGATTATCTATATGTTGTTCATAAAATACAGTTATTTTTTGTATTTTAGTTTATTATCAGAGCGTCGTGACCGTTTTCTTCGTTCATATACAATTCGTAAAGATTTAGAAAATCAATGGTCAAATGCTGTTGAAGAAAAACGTAAACGTGATTTAGATGAACAAAAACATGTTTATGCTCCACAAGGTATTCTTGTTCATGAACAATGTGATCAATATAAACGTTGTGCACAATGTCAAAGAAAATTAAATAATTATGGGGAAACAAATATTTGGAAGGAAACACGTTATCTTTCAGGCGCAAGAATTATGGTTTAAATATTACATCAATTATTTAGTTAATATTCATTTACATAAATCCGGTTACATGGAATATACTGATATATATATATATTTATATAGCCTTGTTTATGGATATACACACTTTATGATAAAGATAAACGAATAATTCATAGATAATTAAAAAACTAATAATATCTTTTTTTTTATTTTTACAAAAGATTTATAAACAGTAAATCTTCCTTACAATTTTCTCATTTTCATACGATGGACTAGTGAAAGTGTATATTTAATCATATTTTTTATTATTTGTACATTCTACTAACTATAAGTACATTTAATTTATAGTCTGCTTCTTGTTCTGTGTCTTGATTTATGAATAACTGAAAAATAAAATAAAATAACGCTTTATTTTATCTTAAAGACAGTACTTTAATGTTCAAATAAACACAATTGAGATAAAGCATATTATATTATTATCATAATCTCTAATAATAGGAAACAAATGTGTTGAGTTTGTCTTTAAATATTTAAATTGTTCATCGTTACTTTTTTTTATTATATTGTTGTTTTTGAAATTTGTTCTCTTATATATAGTTAATTTATACCAATTGTAATGGTTTCAGCTTTGGTTGAGTCCTTAAGAATGAATATGTCATCATCGTTTTTATTCATTGCTGTTAGAAATCATTCATCTGTGACAGTTTACTGTTATAAAGTGCATTTCTTTTGAACATGTATATTAAGAAGAAGAAGAAAAAAAAATGTAGAAGCAAAACATCAAATAATATCATATGATTTCTGTCGTAAAAAAAAAATCCGTTTATTCACAAAATTATTCAGCTGTTTGTCAAACAAATGGTCAATTTTATCTGGATATTAAAATTATTACTAATGACTGAACTATCATACTATCAAAAATAAAAATTTTTTTTTGATTGTTCTCATCAGCCTTTTTGATTTCAATTCGAATACTGGACATCGATTTTGGGGTTTCTTGTAAGAAAAGAAAGCGAAAAAATATATAAAAAAATCGTTAATGAATTGAGTTTAATAAGAACGAAATTTTTTTTGGCATAGTACTAGTTTGATTCTTTATGAATATAATGAAAATATATCGATTCTATATTCACCTGTGTATAAAAAAATCAAATAATAATAATAAAAATAATGATAATAATAATAATAATAATGCAAATAACTAGATGAACATCAAACCAAGGTACATTGAGATTGTAAAAATATGATATTGAAAAATGAGTGTAGAAAGAAAATGTGTTTCATGCAAACTATGTATATATCTATCGTAATACTTATGTAATTTGATAATGAACAATATTGCTCATAAATATGGTAGATAACTCCGTCAAAATAAACTTAAATTTACTAATCAAGCATTCTATCATAGTTTATTGTTTTGTTTCTACTTCGATCATTGTAGTGATTGCCTTCAAAACTACAATTATCGATGATGAAAAAACCCTGAACGAAATCTATATATATATATATAAATATAGGAAGAAAGAGCGAATTTTTTTATCGTTACGAATTGGTTAACCGTGTAACTGAATTCTCATGCGGAGATAAATATGGGTAATCAACAACTTTCTTCATATCAAGGTAAGAGAATGAAAAAATCAATGGTCTCCTGCTACCAGTTTTTCAGTCACAATAAATTACTCAGATGATTCTTCTTGGTCCCATAATATATCGCTATAATAGCCTCGATCTGTTAAGGTCATGTCGGTTAAATATTTATATGCATTCTTAACAAATCATATGTAGTTTGCTTTATTCATCAAAATGATGAAAACTTGAACCTTTTGTTCGCTTCTAATTTGTTCGAACGTAGCCTTTTTTAGCGGCCGCAAAAAATTTGAGCATTGATATATTTTTTTATTGCTTGTTAAGTGTGCATACCGTGAGTGAGACATTATTAGGTGTTCAGCAAAGAAGGAATGAAAGTTGCATACGCTTTCTTACCATTTCCAGCTAATTTTAAGCAAGCGTGTAACGCAAGTAAATTAAGCGTCGTTTATTGAAAATACTAAATTCTATTGTCTGTTTGACCTTCAATTCAGCTTTACCGGCTACTCCACCATGGACTTTTGGAGCAACCGGAAATCCATTTATGACCACTTCTTCCCCTTATCAACCAACAGTCAAAGTTAATGGAACATTATATACAATTGTACGAATGTTGGGAGAAGGCTTACATAGTCGAGTATATGCAGCAATTGATTCAAGAACGTCAGTACCAGTAGCAATTAAAGTTGTCAGCAATATCGATCCAGTCGATAATGGTGAACATTCTCAAATGTTTTTCAAAGAAATTCGCTATTTAACGAAATTACAACCAAGAAATCCTTATGTCATACGTGTAGGTACTTATTCTATTCTTGATTTATCTTACCAAAATTCACATTTCCTGTTCTAGGTATTCAATCACGATTTTGATCTTCGAACACAAACGGGTAAAATTGTTATGGAAACAGGACAAGATTTTCGATTTATGTTGCCATTACATTCATCACCCGAAGAGGTGCGAATTGAATATAAATTCTTTGTATATTGTAAACTAATAAGTTATATACTATAAAGCGCTATAGTAGAAAAACACTAGGTTCTAATAGCACGGCTGATATATCTATGAATCGAAAGGTCTAACTGTTTAAGCAAGTGCTTACTATATATCTAATTGCTGATAAGTAAGCCAAACAAGAAACTGAGGAAAATATTATGTTTTGTCTACTTTTTTTGTGCTAAACAGAAGAGAATGACAGACTCACAAGCAAAATATTATTGGTATCAAATGGTTGATGCTGTTAAACATCTTCATCAAAATGGTATAATACATTCAGGTATGTATGAATCGTTGCACTGTTGTGGTGTCTAGTTCCTGACCTACTTTTTTTTAGATATCAAGCCAGAAAACTTTATTATGGTAGATCAAGGACAATTGCGTATTATTGACTTAGGTTTATCATTTCGTTTACCTCAAACACAAACGTCCGCATTACGGCCATTTGCGGGTAAGTCTTATTATCTTTTAAAATCTTTATACAAAAATTTTAACGCTGCTATCTTTTAGGCACCCCAGAATATATGGTATGTCTATTTCCCAGTAGATTATCACACACTATGAAGAAATACGAATGTCATTGTGCTCTAGTCAAAATTTAGAAACAGTTTGACTGATTTCCATCCACTTTTCTTCGTTAACTGTAGAACTCGTTTGAATTTAGCCACCAGAAGTATGTCGCATTCAAAAGGGACAATATTCGAGATATGGAAAACCAGCTGATAACTCACTATTCAAGAATTATAGTCTTATGTGATGACATCAACTAGCACTCGTTGTATTATACAGGTTAAATTTATGAAATATGTGAATTGTCTCTATCTGGGCATTAGGTAAGTTTTTATTAAATGCCTATACCATTAAACGATACGACATCTCAATATTGTATGTTTGATGCTTTAGGGATATTACTATTTGAGATGGTATTCGGTTATCGGCCATTTGAACATATCCAAGATAATTTTGAGAAAATGACTCACATCGCAAATATGGCCCAAAATATTCATATACCACCAACAAATAATCCACATCTCGCAGATATCCTTCAACGGTGTTTACAGATGAATCCATTGCGACGACCGACAGCAGAACAAATTCTACAACATCAGTTTTTAAACTCATAGATCTGTTATACATTTATGATAATTCTTCTTATTATGGTTCACAAATAAAGCCCACATATGTTCTATACTAAATATCGACGTGGTTTGCATTGCAACAGATCTCTATTCCGCCTCCTGGATGGACTAACAATTTTTCTATCTCAAACTTTTTTCATCTTTCAGATATATTTAATATAAAAACATTCGGTTATTTTTCTAGAATAAGTCTATCATACATGTTTTTCGCAGTATCTTTCAAAGGTCTAATTTACTTTTGAACTTTGATGATTCGTGAAGAGTGAGAAATGTTGTTTCCGTCCTCGATTTTAAGCTAAGCTCTAGTGACTTTCTTTGTAATGAGATAGTTAGCACACTATGAAAGGTATGCTGAGACAAAAAAAGCACTAATATGCCAAGCAGGCTATTATGGTGGATAGATTTTCTAGCGAGTTTAGAAGATATTTGCTATTAATGTATTGATATTAGCGAGAAAAGAGTTCTAGTTTTCAATCGTTTGTTGAGAGAAAACGGTCATTTTGGGTAGAGCTGTATTGTAAAAGAAAGCTGTGCAGTCAAAAGAATTAGTGCCTACACGTTTTAAACTTTATTTATTCGAAATCATAGCATCACACCATCGAGTGACAAGGCACTCATTATTGGCGTAAATTATTCATTGCACTGTACAATCACAGTTCATGACGGAGAGTATAAGAAAAATTGAATAAGAGTTATGGTAATAATCAGAAGCAGAAGAAACATACGATAAGTTACTATCGTTTTTGATGAATAAGAGAGCCCGTTGTTTTGCTTACAACTTTTTAAGGGAAATATGTACCGATCTGCAATTTTCACCATTCGATAGCCAGGACATGTACGCATCTTTCAACAAGCAAAAATGATTTTTGAAAAAGATTTAAAGACCGAATTCAGAACAGATCTTTGGAAAACCAGTTTGGATATCCGAGAACTGGCATAGAAATAGGTCGATCTTTCTTCATAGATAGATAGTTCAAAGTGTCCTCTGCAAAACGGGAATGAAGCAAACTCTTAATTTTTTTCCGGTTCAGGCGTGGCATCGAGTTTCCTGAGAGTCCCAGAATCAATATTTCTTTAGGTTTGGCAATTCCGAAAATAAATGGAAACATAGGTAATAGACCACGCTGAATTTCGTGGCAATATTTGTTTTTCAAATAACTTGCAAAAATCTAATAAAAACCTATATTAGGTGAAATAACCCATTCTGCCTATATTTGAGTAAAATTAAAAAATTCATAACCCAGCCAAGATCCATCCAAATTACGTCAGAATATCAAGATATACTCTATTTTATCTGCTCTACACGTTGGAGCTCAATAACAGCTATAAAAGTCAACAGCAAATACTCTGGTTTTTGAAAGAATTTTCTAAAAATCTTCCGAAGTACAGCAATTTTTTGGCGTCTTACAACATCTTATAAGATCTGATGATTTCTTATGCAATCTTGCTACAAGATCTTTTGGCAGGACCTTGTAAGATTTTATCTTAAGGTCATGTATTGTATCTGTATAGAATTCAGTGTGCGTGCACTGAAGAGTCCGCAACACGGTCGTTTATAAATATTTATAACTCTCAACTTTTTTCTGTCAATTTTCCAGCGGAAAACCGCTTCTAAACCTATTCATAAATCAAATATTTATAAATAAACGTTTATAAATCGATTTATACCTATTTCGGACATTTTTATAACCATTTTGGACTCGTCAGTGCCAGTATGTCTCTTCAAAATAGAAGTTGATGCCGACGCTCAAAAATGTTTCCAACCAGCGTTAGAAATTTATAAAGCTTTCGTATCCTGATCATTTTTTCTCAAGTTTTTAGTTTTTAAAAATTTTTAAACGACACGATCAGATGGTTCACAGTGTTTTCTTCCATAAAAGACATCTCTCAGCTCTAAGAAATGCTTAGTTGAGGCTTTATAAACCCTCAGATGGAAGGCACAGTGTGTGCATTTTTCCCATGCCAGTCGGACATGTCACTTTTTCGATCAGAAACAATTTTTTTCGCTTGAATATAATTGACTATTATTCAGAGAGTCACTTCCGAGTAAAAAACAGGTTTTTTGACGAAAATATCCCTGAGGGGTACCCTTGTCTAATTTGTAAAAAGTTTTTTGTTTAAAATTGCATATGTCACACATCATTCGATGCAGTTTTTCTTGCCAAGGACGGGGTGCAATAAGAACGAGGATCGGCCCCATTTCAGATCTTCTCGAAAGGTATCTAGAATAAAAGAGCATACAATTTTACGGGGTTCTACATCGTTGATTCTCCTTCGGACCTCATATCTGTTTGAACAATAGCTCCGTGAACCCATTCCGAGGTGTTTTTCGTAATTTTCTCAGCACACAACAAGTTTGAAGGAAAGTCTTAGATACCATTCGATGTAGCTCTAAACGGCGAATAAAACTGTCTATTGCTCAATTGTTATGTACACTGCGAACACCCACGTTTTTGCCATATTACTGTTAAAAATGACCTTTTGAGCATAGCCAACAATAGTATTTCAGCTTTTTCATCGGGAAAGAACCCAGGCTGCGGTCTACATTGTATATCGAAAGAAAGCTCTTTCAAAACTCTACAAAACGGTGGGTAACTCATTTCTAGTTGAAAGTGTGAATATCCGAAAACCTGAGCGTTCGCACTTGTAACTAGAAATGAATTACCAGCCATTTTGTAGAGTTTTGAAATAGCTTCTTTTGATATATAATATAGACCGCAACCCAAGTTCTTTCATGCTGAAAACAATAGAAATACTATCGTTGG